ATGCTAGGGAAGTAGGCAAGGCCAGGTCACACCTTGTTAAATGAAGAGGGAAGGCCTTAAAAGGAAAACAAGTTTTCAGGTGACTTGGTTAAATTTGTTTTATAAAGACAATTCTAGCTGCTGTGAGAAGAATAGATGAGGATACACTGCTTAGGGTGTGTATGTATGTAGTAAAAGTATAAAGAACTGCAAAGGAATAATAAATTCAATTAGTGATTACCTCTGGCAAGGAGGTCTACAATGGAGGTTGGGGGAAGGAGGATACAATCAGGTGGGGAAACACCTGACCTTTACTGGTAATATTTTCCTAAGCTGCAAGGTAGTTAAGTATTTATTGTAGTATTATTTATTACTTTTTCTGTCTTAAATATCTCATACTACCCCCTCTTTTAAAAATAAGAGCAAATGTGGAAAGACCGTTTATAATTGACTATAATAATCTTAGGAAAAGGTGACCTAGACTAGGATGGGGAGACTAAAGGTGGAGAAAAATCACAAGTCTGGCCTCAGTAAGTTGTTGACAGAGCCACTTAATGAAATGGTAGAGTGAAGGTCTAGGTCTGGAGCCACGATTAAGAGGTCAGTCTGGGCATCTCAATTCAAAGTACCTCTGAAGCTAAGTAGAGATGTTGAGTAGGCAGCTGGGATCAGAAAAGAAGTCTGGGAGACAGACAAAAATTTGGGAGTATTCAAAATACATATTGTTAACTGAAGCCACAGAATGGATGAAATTAGAGGACCAAGAATTGAGAAAGACCATCAATTAAAGATCCGGTAGAGGGGCGCCTGAGTGGCTCAGTCAGTTAAGCATCTGCCTTCAGCTCAGGTCATGAGTCCAGCATCCGGCTCCCTGCTCTGCGGGGAGCCCGCTTCTCCCTCTGTCTCTGCCTCTCTCTCTCTCATGAATAAATAAATAAAATATTAAAAAAAATAAAATAAAGATCTGGCAGAAGAGGATGGGGGGGGGGAGAACCTGAAGGAATAGCCAGAGAACAAGGGGGGGAAAATCAGAAGCCAGGAGAAAAGAGTACTTCAGGAAGGAAATTTTTGAATTGAAATAAACACCTATTGGGGTGCCTGGGTGGCTCAGCTGGTTGAGCGTTTGCCTTCGGTTCAAGTCATGATCTCAGGTTCCCGGAACTGAGCCTTATGTCTGGCTCCCTACTCAGCGGGGAGTCGGCTTCTCCCTCTGCCCCTCCCCCCTTGCGCTCATGCGCGCTCTCTTTCTCTCTCAAATAAAAGAATAATATCTTTAAGATTTTATTTATTTGTCAGAGAGCACAATCAAGGGGAGTAGCAGGTAGAGCAGGCAGAGGGAGAAGCAGGCAACCCACTGAGCAAGGAGCCCAATGTGGGACTTGATCCCAGGGCGCTGGGATCATGACCTCAGCTGAAGGCAGACACTTAACGAATTGCGCCACCCAGGTGTCCTAATAAATAAAATCTTAAAAAAATAAAAATAAAATAATAAACACCTATCTGAAATGGGCATTTAGGAATCTGAGGTCCAAGAATGAGTCAAAGGTAATTCTCTAAAAGCAGAAAGCCCAGATCTACCTTATTCTGAACATTCCCAAAAGAAATGTTGTAAGTCAGGGGCGCCTGGGTGGCTCAGTCGTTACGCGTCTGCCTTCGGCTCGGGTCATGATCCCAGGGTTCTGGGATCGAGCCCCGCGTCGGGCTCCCTGCTCCGCGGGAAGCCTGCTTCTCCCTCTCCCACTCCCCCTGCTTGTGTTCCCTCTCTCGCTGTGTCTCTCTCTGTCAAATAAATAAATAAAAAATCTTAAAAAAAAATGTTATAACTCAGTTAAGTAACAAATTCAGTCAAAACTGATAAATCATACAGAGACAGATGAAAATAATCTTTAACTATATGAGACTAGAATATCCAGTTTAGAGATTAAAGGATAATAGGGATGAAATTTATTCCATTTCTATAGTGAAAAAACAAAAACTGACTCCAAAATCCTGTACATTTCTTTTTTGTTTCAAAGATTTCAGAGAATTTCCATATTGCTAAGCCTTTCAGCATGTTAAGCTGTAAGCACTTTGACAGCAAAAACCACATAGTATTCATCTTCAGCATCTAGCATTCTAGCAAATAACTGAATGAAAAAAAAAAAGTTCACTAAATTAATGAACGGCCACCAGAGTACTATGTCCAAATTGTGCTGGTGCTACAAGCAATACAGCTCAAAAATACAAACTGAGGGCTCTACTCATTCCACAGAACACTTCTTTTCCTAGAAATAAAATGGTATCTGCAAAGAGATGTCATCCCTGTCCTGGGGAGGGAACCCTTTGGGCAACACATTCCACACACAGGCTTCAATGACAAACTTGAAGGTTGTCAACCCCTACAGTGTTTGCAAAATTCAAGAATGTATTACTACTGTATGACAGTCCAGTATTGTCTGGTCATTCATTCTAAAGAGCTGGAGAAAATAGCAATGCTCAGAGTAAAAGAATAGGTCCATATTTCCACAAAAACTAAACTCATCAGTTGCGGTAGTAGGTCTGAAAATTGTTGGCACTTAGCTGATGTTAACAGTGCAGAACTGTGTTTCAGGTTAGTGATACCAGCTAAAATCTATTATCCTATGTATTCTCAAAAATAGTCTAAAAAAAAAAGTAATCCCATCTTTCTTTGCCTAAATTTCTATCAGGTATTTTGGGTAGGAGCCACACATTTCTATGCTACAAGAAAAGCACCAATTAGTAAAAATAAATACATACATTTGCAAGTTAAAAAAAAAAGCACCAATTTGGAAATAAAGAAGTACACTCCCAGTTGCACTAACTATCCAGACTAATAATGAAAAAAAGAAGGGAACACAGCTCATTTATTTTGAAATGCGAACAACCCTCAAATAAAAAGCCCAGCATTTTGGAACTCATCTCTTTGCACTGAATTAGGCATAGAACAAACTATGCATTTATTAAGAGAATGATACTCTAGATTTTAATTATGTATTTTGTATTCTAGGATCCCAATTACTGACTTGATAGGAGAGCCTGGAGCTAGGGTGGTGGTGCAGCTAATCAGAGACAGACCCTCTAGTCCTTCCCTTTTGCTAATTTATACAAATATAAAATAGGAATAAAAATAATTATTAAGGGTAGCAGTATTTAAGTAAAATTGTTATGCTGAAGATATGTTAACTTCTTAAATCCTTTGGACTGAAGGCTAAAAGTCAATTCTATCTTCATGAACTGAACTGAAAGTCTCTAGGTCCTTCGCTCCTTTTTGAGAGAACTGTGGTGGCTACCTAGCACAGACAGAAAACCAATTCTGAAGTCACACAACCTAAAAAATGAGCTAAAAGCGTTGACTTTTAGAAAGGATGTTTGAAATGCTTTGGAAAAGCGCACAACAGTTCAAGACAAGCAGTAAACAGTATCAAACCATTACAAATCAGGACAAATAAGACAGGGAGAACTTCCATATGGCTCCTATGTATTCTCTCCAAAATGTCCTTTCCTTACAATACTCTGCTCACAAAGATCTGGCTCACACTAAGATGGAGTTTACCACAGCTTTTTACCTTTTACCCAGAAGAGTCAGTTCATTTCTTTTAATTCTGCCATTATATAGCACTTAAGAAATCTAAAGCAACTGCAACATACTATGCTAAATTCCAAAAAATAAAACCAACAAAACTCCAGGAAACGTGGTAACCACAATTCACAATATATTTAGTCAGAAGCTCTGGAATTAATTTTATTTTTCTGCATTCTTACTCTGAATAATACCTAAACCTTCTTTAGGAGGTAAAGGATTTGATCCCTAAATTACATTATTAATCCCCTTTTCTACAGATAATGTGATGTAGTCGAGATGTGTTCTCCGTTTATCAGGAATTAAAATCCCCTTCATTTAGACTGCTTGGTTTTTATAGTGCTTTCCCACATACTCACTCCAAAGTATACACAACACGAACGTATTAATAGTTTTAGACTATATCAGCACATGATAATGCTTATCCAGAACTTACTCTATCTTGATTTACTCGATTCCACAAAGTACGGTCTTGAGGCTAACAAAATAAAGCGTGAGCACAATGAAATCTGTACCATTGCAGGTTCTCAATGAACAAACATTCCTTCAAATCATAAATCCGAACTCGCCCACTTGGCAAAGAAAAAGTAATCCCAACCTTACAAACGATCACAAGGGAAGGAAAACAACGCAAATTCTAAACCACACATTCACGTAAATCCTTTCAACTCAAAGCTCCAAACGCAGCCACCAACCACACAATTGGCTACAGTCGGAGCTTTAGCGCCTTCTCTTAATTTTGAATCTGCAGATCGAAGGGAAAGCAAAACAGTCGTCCAAAGTTTCACGAAGTGGAAAAAAAAATCATTTTAAGTAAAGGAAATATGCTAATGAAGAAGCGACCGCGCCATTCCCCCCCGCCCCCCGTTTCCCTCCTTCCAGCCCTCGAACTAAATCTCGTCTACAACACTGACGGGAGGCAGGAGTCCCGGCAGCGATGGTAGAGGGAGTCAAACGAACCGCACGCCGCCCGGAGAGATGTCAGGGGCCGAGCGTCGGGAGACAAAGACCAGCCCGCGAAGCGCCCCGGCGGCGAGGGGCGGCCCCGGCGCGGCCCTGCGCCCCTAACCGCCCCGAGGAGTTGCGAGCTCCGCCGAGCGCCGCCCAAGTGCGCGCCCGGGGTCCTCCGGGGTCCCCGCCCGCCCGGCGCGGCAGCCGCCGCCCGGGCCCACCCCCTGGCCGTTTCCCTCCCAATTTGGGAACCGCGCGCCCAGGGACAAAAGGGGGAGGGCGCGCAGGGGGCAGCGGCGAGCCGCCGGTCAGACGCCCCTCCGGGGTCGGCAGGAAGTCTCGGCAGCAGCCCCTCCCGCCCCCCCGCCGCACTCTTCCCGGGAACCCCGTCCCCCGCTTCCCCCCACCTCCGGCCTCCCCACAAGTTCTCCCGCCCCCCCGGGCCCCGCCCCTTGCCCGCTCCTCATCCCGCCCCGCGGCCGCCCCTCACCGGGCGGCGTGTTCCCCCGGAGCCGCCTCCTCCGCCGGGCCTCGGCCCGTCCCTCCGGCCGCCGCCTCATGTGCCCCGCGTCGCCATCGCCTTCACCGCCACCCGCGCCTCTCCTCCAACTCTCGCCGCCGCCGCCCTCGCCTGAGTCTCCAGCCGAGGCCGAAGCCGCTCCCGCCGCCGCCTCCCGCTCCCACCGCCCGGACCCGCGGGGAGGCGCCTGCGCACTACGCGCCGCGGTGGGGGCGGGGGCGTCCCGCCGCGGCCTGGGAGCAGGGGGCGCGCGGCACGTGGCGCTCCGGTGGGAGGGGGCGCCCCGGAGCGCGCGGGCGGCGGCGCGGGCGTCCAACTTTCTGCGGTCGGGCCCTCGCGCGCTCCCGGGCGGTCCCGGGTGCGCCGACTGTGTCGGTGCCACCCGCGTGGAGTCTGTACCTGGGTGGGCGCAGATCTCGCCCCCGGGACAATTCATTCCTCCAGCTTGGTTCTCGGAACAGCAGTCCCCCGCGGCCAGTGCCTCGGTTTGGGCAGGCTACTAACGGCGCCGCGAGGACACGCCTTACCTGAGCATCCTAGGTCGGTCCTACGAGTCCCGGAGTTGTCTGCTGTGCGCTCCGCCGAGGCCTGGGTCCAGTGTGACACATCAGGATGCTGACGCCCCTTTCTAGGTTCTGCTCCTACTGGCCCTCGTCGGGTTAATCATCCTACCTCCTTTGAGTCTTGGCTTTTAGTGGCGTTTTAGATACTTTTGAGGTCCTGGACTTCTCAGATTAGCAAAACCGTAATAGGCTATTTCCTCTTAACCCCTTGCATCCCAGCAGGATCCCATTCAAAGGACTTTCTGGAGAATTTGTATGCATGGGAATGTCCAGCTTTAAACTGCCTGCCCTCGAAGGAATCTGGAAACACCTCAAATGCTTTAAGGACAGGGAGTCCGTGCATAACAACGGAAGGTGTCCCAAGGAGATGGGAGAGTACTTTACTTTGTATGGTGTTTGACAACTCCTGTACTCCTGAATTATCTCATTTGACCATCACTGTACAAACAGATAGGCTTCCATTTTACCCTTTTGACCACAGAGGAAATTAAGCTCTAACAAATGAGGTGACTTGCTACAGGTCAAACCCTCCTACCCCGAAAGCCAGGCCGGAACTAACCGCTAGTCCAGAGGGCTGGCCATCCGGCCCACTGACAAAAGTTTTGTTTGGCCAGTACGATGTTTTCTAAAAGTATGCATTAATTGCCAAAAGTTTAGAATCCAGATCTTTGGCTTCTCTCTAAATAGTGAAAAAAGAAAAATCGCTCCCGTTGAGCCTCTGGTCTCACCCGAGGCTACTTCTGAGTAATATTTGTTTGTGCAGGGCAGGCACTGTTCCCACTTAGCTGCTTGAATCATTTTCATTACCTGCTTGGCCTCTGTATTTAAGTTCTCCTCCCCTCTCCCCTCACTGAACTCACAGTGCCCCAGTCGTCCCCAACCCCTTCCTTAACACATTCCCTCTCTACAAATGTATTTAAAGTGACAGGTGTGATGACCTTGTAAATATATGAAAATATAAAGAACACGTCAAACTAAAATAACACAGGAGACATTACTACATATGCTGATTAAAATATTAAAACTAACATCCTGCTAGTGTAATTCTATATTGGTACAAATTGCTTTGGAAAATGGCAATATCTACTAAAGTTAAACCTATGCCTACACTGTGACTGTAATTCCATGGAAATTCCACAGAAATGTGTACAGATGTACACAAACTGCATGCATTAATGTGTTCATAGCAGCACTATTTGTAATAGCCAGAAAACTGGAAACCCCCCAAATGTCCAACAACTGTAGAAAGGATCGATGAAATGTTCTAGTCACACAATGGTACCTTATGCAGCAATGAGAAGGAACAATCTACAATTACACACAAGATAGATGAATCTCACAAAACTTTCCATTTATATGAAGTTCAAAAACAGGCTAAAGTGTCCTCCTGTGCTCTTGAGTAAGGATAGTGGTTACCTAGGGGTAAGGTTAGTCACGGGAAATATGAGGGGGCTTCTGGGGGACTGGTCCTGTTCTTTTCTTGATCTAGAGGTTGAATACACAAATGTGTTCAGTTACCACATCTGAGCTGTACACTTTTGATAGTGCATTTTTGTGCGGCATATTAAGATTTTTTTTTTAATTAATTTGACAGAGAGAGACACAGCGAGAGAGGGAACACAAGCAAGGGGAGGGGGAGAAGGAGAAGCAGGCTTCCCGCCGAGCAGGGAGCCCGATGCGGGGCTCAATCCCAGGACCCTGGGACCATGACCTGAGCCGAAGGCAGATGCTTAACGACTGAGCCACCCAGGTGCCCCCATATTAAGATTTCAACAAAAACCTTTAAAGTGGTGGGGCGCCTGGGTGGCTCAGTTGGTTGGGCGTCCAACTCTTGGTTTCTACTCAGGTCGTGGTCTCAGAGTTGTGGAATCGAGCCCTGCGTCAGGCTCTGCGCTGGGCAGGGAGTCTGCATGACGTTCTCTCCCTCTGCCCCTTGCCCCACACCCTCTCTCACTCAAATGAATAAATCTTAAAAAAAAAAAAAAAAAAAACCCAGGGCACCTGGGTGGCTCAGTCGGTTAAGCGACTGCCTTCGGCTCAGGTCATGGTCCTGGAGTCCCGGGATCGAGTCCCACATCGGGCTCCCTGTTCAGCAGGGAGTCTGCTTCTCCCTCTGACCTCTCCCCTCTCATGCTCTCTCTCTGTCTCATTCTCTCTCTCTCAAATAAATAAATAAAATCTTAAAAAAAAAAACCCAAAACTTTAAAGTGGTGTCAAAACATTTGATTATATATGTATATTTCATATATTAATAATACCTATTAAATGTTCATTAGGTATTATTTTCCTATAAGTTCATGGATGAAACTGCTGAGGAAGGCTTCCTATCTTTTACCATTGACCATTCTTCATGGAGATTGGGAACAATATACTTTCTGTATTTGTTACCTTACTACCAAGCCTGTAGCCCCATCTCTCTTCTGGTAGAGAAACCTTTTAAAAGATGGAAATAATAAGGGGCGCCTGGGTGGCTCAGCCGGTTAAGCGTCTGTCTTTGGCTCAGGTCATGATCCCAGAGTCCTGGGATCAAGCCCCACGTCAGGCTCCCTGCTCAGCAGGGGAGTCTGCTTCTCCCCTTGCCTCTGCCCCAGACCCCCGCTCATGCCGTCTCTGTCTCTCTTGCTCATTCTCTCTCTAAAATAAAAACATGAAATCTTAAAAAAAAGAAAAGGAAATAAGACCCGTGGAAGCTAAGCACCTGCAGATAGTTTAAAAAAACAAACAAACAAATATAACTCTTCTTTTATCACCTTGCCAGCTAGTGACATCTTTTAATCCAGTTATAGGTGGTAAAGTGAAGCCAGAAACCTAAGCCAGGGGATCTCTGATCCAGACAGTCATCAGTGATGTAGGAAAGATGTTAGGGTTTGAAGCCGACAGCCAAGAAAGAATTCTTGAGATGTCTCTGGTGCAAAAAGATGGTTTTATTAAAGTACCAGGACGGGATCCTTGGGCAGAAAGAGGGGCACTGGGGTTGTGAGGAGCAATTGATGATATACTCGGGAGTTGGGGGAGGTAAGGGAAAAGGGAGGTTTTCAGAAGAACTTTCATATGCTAAACAGGACCTACAAGATAGTGGAGGCCTTGCCCTTGTCAAGTTAAGATTGTTTTTCCCTCTAGCAAGGCATTACCATTAAGACAGTTGGGAGCTTCCTGGAAGAACTTTATACTACGCCTGCCTCAAGTATTGGTCAATGGGCTGCAGGTTATAAGGACATTTAATTTTATCTACATTTCCTCCTGGAAGCTAGGTTATTGATAAGAATGCTTTTTTTCTTGTAAATCACTAAGACAATTGTAAACTGAGGGAGACTCCTGCCTTGAAGGAGTGTAATCTCTATAAGTTGACTGTTTTGTTTTTCATTCCCTTGGCTTTAGGGCTGAGGAATGTCACATATATCCCACCTGCGGGGGAGGGGGGTGTCGGGTGTCAGCTTGTGCCTTGTCCTCAGCTTGCCTTCTGCTCCCTCATCAACCAGGATCTAGCAACCGCTAGAATGTGAGTTCCCTGAAGGCAGGACCATTGCCTCTCAGCTTCTAGAGCAGAGCGCCGCACATGGTAGGTGCTTAGCAAGTACATGCAGAGTGAATGAGTGACGGAGAGCTTGCCATGGCTAGCACAGAAAGGGTGCTACCCGGGGGAAGGAAAAAAAAAAAAAGCCCCAGGCTTCAAACAGGGAAGGGGTCTGGTTTCCAAGCCTCTGGCACAGAGTGGTGGAGGCGGGTGCTGTGAGAACCGCATCACTTTTTATTCACATGGGGCCAAGGCAGGAAAGGATCAAAAACCAGTTTGAGAACTTGAGAGTCACCCTGGGGCTCTGTGGTTTGGGAACTGCAGGGTCAACTTGAAGACTCCAGTGTGTCACTATTTCCATTACACATTTTCCAGGGTCCCCACTTGGCTGATAAACTCAGAGTAGATTGCTATGTCCTGGGGGATGGGAGCAAAGGCTCAGAGAGGTAGGATTTTCGGAAAGCTCCCTGTTGGCAACAGAAAGGCCTGTGGGCCCCAGACTGGCTGGATAGGGAGGAAGCTTCTCGTTAAAGCAGCTCTTGATCCCATTGATCGCATGTGCTAATGGGGGAGGCAGGTATGAGTAGCACACCCCTTTTCCCAGAACCCCCAGCAGTTTTAGTTGACCTGTGGGACACATTATACTGTTTCTTTCTGCCACAGGGATGGTGGGTGAGGCAGATTTTTTTGTTGTCAAAATTTTTTTTTGAATATGTTAATACAAGTAGTATAAGAAAGAACAGTAGGATGACCCCCAGCAGTGCTTCGTGGAGCCCAGTTAGCAGTTCCTGTGTATTAAGGCAGAATTTTAAATTAAGGTCAATTTACTTGCAAATGAGGGATAGGTGAAGTGTGTGCAGGAGATGGGGGTGGGGGGACGTGTATGGGAGAGGATCCATTCTGTGCTGGCTCAGGAACTACCCTGCGTTGGTGAGAGATGACCCATTCTGTGCTGGTTCAGGAACTACCCCGCGTTGGTGAGAAGCAGTGCAGTAGGTGCAGTCTTTGAATTTCTGGAAGTTCTCTCTGCCCAGCTGTTTGTACTTGTTCACTCATATTTCTACGATGGTGTGAGAATGTGATGGTGAAATGTACATGAAGTCCCATTATTACTTGCTATGTTAACTTTCCACTGTAAGCTGGTCTATAGCGGTTAACATTATTGGTTGGATAGCTCAGCCATTTATTTACTTGCTGTGCGATCTGGCTGTTACTTCACCTCTCTGAGCTATGGTTTCCTCATCTGTAAAATAGGGATGAGATCCATCTGTTGGGATTTTTGTGAAGATGAAATAAAATATGTGAAGTGCCTAAAACTTGTAGGCTCCAAAGGCATTAGTCCTCTCCCACAGTGTTCTTTGGAGGAAGCCAGGTAATTTGGGTATTCAAAAGCACCCAACACAAGGATCTTGGCAAACCATTTCAAATCCCTGTGCATCCATTCATCATCTGAGACAGGTGTGTCTTAATACGCAGCTCAAAATTGGTCCTTCACAAGACGTGATCCTAGGACGTCAGCATTACTACATTCGGATGCAGCCTTCCAATCACTACCATCCACACCCTCTTTAGAAGCTTTTTAAATGTGTGAGTAGTCTCCCCAGAAAGATTAGTGGTAACAAAGGCAGTTTCCTGGCCCCAGGCCTGTGGCTCTTGGGGCTGTCCTTGGACAAAAACTGCAGGGTCCTTTGAACTTACTGCCTGCTTTTAGGGGAGAGGATGTCTTACCCTCCCTACCCCAGGCACCTTCTAGAGGCTGCCTCAGCCTAGTCCTGTTATTTGGAAACTTCCAGCCCCAGCCTGCTCCTGTTACCCCCACTCCTGGCACCTCCAGTCCCTGAGACACTACTATATATGGCCTAATGTTTCCGCTCCTGTGATTCCCCCAGCCCTTCAGCCTGGGTCCTCCCCATTCCAACCCCAATTCAAGCATCTTCTGTTCCTTGTTCAGTTCATTCTTCAGCATCTCCTCACTCACAGCACTCCTTTAGCTCAAGGCAAGAGTTGCTGGCCCTCCTTTCCCTGCCTGGTCCCTCAGCTCCCTTGGGCTATATATAGCATAGCAATGCCTTAATTTGTGTAGCGCTTCAAGTTCTGGCCACCCCCTCCCTACACAATAGGGAGAAAAAGCCTGAAGATGGTTGGAAAGGGACAAGGGGGTGCTGAACTGGGACCACCCGGAACGTGGCAACCTTTTCATCTGTTGTCAGGGACCTTCTACTTCTCCCCCAGCCTGCTACCCATTTCCTGACACTTGCTCATTCTGGAGGGAAGAGGAGCAGGCCATGTGCAGGGGAATTCTAACAATCATCTTATTTAACTCTTACAATGATCCTGTGGGGAGATGCTACCTCCATTTTACAGATGATGGCATAGACTCAAAAGACATTGAGTGGCAAAAGACCAAGTATTCAGAGAGTGGTCATTCAAGCAGCTAACTGATCCCATGTCTGCCCGTGGCCTATGCTCCGGATCCATTAAGTCTGCCTGCATCACTCAATTAGACCCTTCTAAATTAGAATGTCTATGAGTGTGACATGACCTGGAAGGAAAAAAGGTTTACTAAGTAAATTACTAATGTAGAAATGCTTAAATAGAAATAATTATTGAAGACTTGGCATAGTAACAAAAATATTATAATTTGTCTTAGCTGTTTGCTGAAGCGATAGTCTACAGAAATCTGTTCTTGAAGTTTTAGTGTGTTCTCAAAAAATGCAATTTTATTTCTTCTATTTCAGGACTTTCCCTCCAGTTTGCAATACTTCTCCCATTAGTCCAGAGCAGTGAGCTTTGATTTTAGGAAGTTATTAGTCTGGTTCTTTCTTCTGTCACTTACTGTGACCCGGAGCAAGACATTTAACCCAAGCCTGTTTTTCATCTGTGAAATGGGGATAATAGTACCTACCTTAGAGAATTGTGAGGATTAAATAAAAATAACCTACTTAAAGCAACTAGCACATTTCTTGCCCCATAGGTGCTCAGAAAATCATATTCTTTTCTCAATTCTGGGCTGAGATGTTATAGGAGCATCAACAGAAGCCCAATAAGGGAGAACCTCTCGAGGAAGTTGAACTTCACTCTGCATAGCTTGGACCCTATTCTCCAAAGGGCTTGGAGTTGATCCTGATTCTTGCTGTCTCATCCAGGCATTTCATCCCCCTGCCTCTGGCCCAGACCATCCATCTCTTGAGAATTCAGGCCACCGTTGGGACCAGGAGAGTGTGTGTGAATGACTGGGAGGAGAGTTCCCATGGACGCTGGGGATATGTGAAGGCCCTGGGGAGCTGCTGTGACCCTGGGTCTTTCCCTAGGGCAGTGAGTGCTGGGGAGAGAAAAGAAAGACTTCAGCTGCTGGACAGATTTCCAGTGCTGAAAAGCCCCTTTCAGATAGACACATGGGGCTGCGGATCTAGGGAGGGAACAAAGGCCTGGGATGGAGTGGGCCTCTCCATAGTGTACTCCAGTCTTTTTCCACTTGCTTATCAACAAGAAGGTTCTTGGGCGCCTGGGTGGCTCAGTTGGTTAAGCAACTGCCTTCGGCTCAGGTCATGGTCCTGGAGTCCCGGGATCGAGTCCCGCGTTGGGCTCCTTGCTCAGCGGGGGGTCTGCTTCTCCCTCTGACCCTCTTCCCTCTCGTGCTCTCTCTCATTCTCTCTCAGATAAATAAATAAAATCTTAAAAAACAAAACAAACAAACAAAAAAACCCCAAGAAGGTTCTTTCCTCCTCTTCTCTGAATCCAGGGTGCCACACTTGATTAGCATTCCTAAGCTTCAGCCTGGATGGAGAGGTTCTGCTTGGCCAGCCTATGGGAAGCAGTCTACAAGTACAAACTCTGGAGCCAGTCAGACCTAGATTCAGATGACACTGCCATTTACTAGCTGTACACCCCTGGATAAGTCTTTTAGCCTCTCAGAAGCTCAGTTTCCGGTCTATGAACAAACTACTAATTACTGTATAGAACAATTGAAAGGCCTGAAATGTAAATACCTCAAATTAGGTGATAATGAAGGTCAATTGTCATCTCTGTCCTGAATGAGCATGAGTGAGCATCTCACCCCCGTAGGCAGTATAAGGAGCACTGGAGATGTGAGGAAGTCCTAGTGGTTATAAACTGGATGCATCTCCTTGGTCCAGAAAGCATTCTTGAAAGGATCAAGACCACAATTGGGAATAGGGTCATTTTATTTACATCCCACATTGTTCGTGTTTGAAGCAGTATAGCTTGCGGGAGAACAGAGGATCTCTCTCGTTTCTTGCCTCTGTATTTCCAGCTCAGTTCTCCGTAGCAAGTCCCTGTTCTGATCCAGCCCCTTACATCCATGAGAATTAACAGACTGAATCTAGTTAAGGGCTCCCACCATCTGATCTTTCATTACTTTCCGGTGCTTGGAGCTTTGGCCTGGAACTCAGCAAATGGGGGGTTAAGACTGATGCCCTGGCCTATCTCCTCCCCTCTCCATTCCTGACTTCAAAGTCCCCATTAAAGCTTGCTTCCCTGACCCTACAGTGGCAGCTCCATCATCAGCTCCTGGCCGGTTCAAAACAGCAGATGCTGAGCCCTGGCCGGACTGCTCGCACTCTACTTTCTAGCCATCTCCTAGGGTAAGCATCAGCATGCTGAGAACCTGTGGGGCTGACAGTCCTTGCTCCTCCAGGAGAGAAGAGGCAACTAAGAATAGAGGTCACCTCATGTAGGGAGTCTGTCTTACGGCCGGACCTAGAAGGCACCGCGTAGGCAGAAGCCCTGGTCTATGGACCAGGACTCTGGGGTTCCGTCTAGTTTGTGATCAGAGCAGATGTTTACTGGGGTTAGCAAGTAGAGCAAGAGGGGTCACCTGCCCAGAGAGGGAGGCAGGGGTTCGGCAATGGCAAAGAACCTGGCAAGAGATGGAAATGTGAGCAGTTCAGGGACCAGAATTAGTTCCATTAGGACTAATGTCCAAAAATCTATGCTAAATTATTCACAAATCAATCTTTGGCTCCGGTGATTCAGTAACCAGAGCTGGGACACTGGGATGGCTCTGGCTCTCTGGGGCCAGATCCTTTTCTGTAGCTCCCTCAGGGAACTGTCACAGATTCAAGGCCAGTGGGGTGCCCAAGCCTCAAGGCCTGTTCCTCCCACCCTCATCTGTGGATTTTTCCAGCTGCTTTTCTTGACCCAAGGATCACATAGGGATACAGATGGAAGGGGGGGAGGGGGAGCAGGGAAAACAATGAAGTCAGAATGAGATGGGGAAGAGGCAAACGTTAGAAAGAGATGGGCGAAACGGCACTAGTGGTCCAGCCATCTGAGACAGGACACTTGGGACAACTTTTCAAGTAGCAGGTGTGTTGGGGCATGGTAAGAGAGGGTCTTAGCAGGCAACTCCCTCCTTTACCCCCAGACTGAGGGGAATCGGGAGTTCTTATTGTGGGGTGCCTCTTTCTAGGACTGCGCTGAAGCCTCAGAGCCCCAGCTGATAACCCTGGGGCCAGATCATGTCTGCTAACAAAGGCTGGTGGGTACCACCTGAGGGCGAAGACAGTGTGTCTCAGAAGTTCCTGAGGAAGACCAGGGAGTCTCCGCTGGTGCCTGTAGGTGAGTAGGAAAGTAAGGAAAAAGGGCAAGGAGGGTCCTTCCCTCAGAGAACAGGTCTCTTAGTCTTTTCAAATGAAGCAGAGAACTCAAGTGTCATACCCACTGAGCAGTCACCAGCCAGGAAAGGAGTGAACCAGCAGCAAAGCTGCCAAGGGACGAAAGGACACGCCTGACAATGAAATAAAGGAATCTGGATGGGTGGAGGTGGTGGCCGAGGGCTTGGGGTGCGGGTAAACACGGGGCATCAACACCTGCGTGAGGAGAGGGAGGAGCCGTTTGGGGTCTCCCAGGGCTTCCTTCAAGGTCTTGGGAGAGTGGGAAAGTAGCTGTGGGAGCCAACAGCAGTTGGAGAAGGGCCTGAGCAGAGCCAATGGGTGTAGGGGGCTCAGAACGGGCTATTTGTACACAGAGGAGGGCTCACTGGAGGGAGGCAGCCACTTTGAAAATGCCACGGAGAGGAAACAACTCAATATTCTGATGATGGTCCCCTCCTCCCGCCATGAAGTGGCAGGAAAGTAGGGGTTTATCCAGATGCCCAGGCTACCTAAGTGAGGGGGTCTGTCATCAGGGGAACCATGTGATTGGTGACTGAGGCCCAACAGTCATGTTCTCTGCCCACAGGCTTAGGAGGCTGCCTGGCAGTGGCAGCCTACCGGATTTATCGGCTTAAGGCCCGTGGTTCCACCAAGATGTCCATACACCTGATTCACACCCGAGTGGCAGCGCAGGCTTGTGCTGTGGGTGCAGTCATGCTAGGTGAGTGGCTGCCAGGGTCCCAGGAGAATACCAACAGAGCTGATTAGGCAAAATCTGGCTGTGAGTCCTGACAGTTAAGGGATGGTGATTTTAGTCCCTGTTCCCTATAGTAAGCTCCACAGCAAGTCTTGGGTGACGCTCTCAAACCAAGCCATTTTCAGGGTTCCTTGTTTTATCTCCTGTCCCGGGGCCTGTGGGGATGGTGCAGTTGGGTGTCGTGAGAGTTTGTTCTAGATGTGAGAAAAATCACATAGCAGAACATATGCTTCTTTTCCTCTCTGGGTCAAGAGGCAGGCAGCTACGGACTAGCTGTGTGACAGTGGACAAATCCTTCTCTGAGCCTCAGTTTCCCCATGTCCAACATGCTGATAAGCACCCTGGCTTGCCTACCTCAGAGGTTGCTGTGAGGTTTCTCAGATAGGTAATCTATGTGGAAGGGCTTTGTGAACTGTCAACGGGGTGTTTGCCTAGGCCGTGTGGTCAGGTGCTCATGGCAGCTGGTGAGACCCAGAGCAAAAAGATGAGCAGAGAAGCTGGACTCTCAGGGGAACGGCTGGAGTCAGACTCCTGGGAGAGCCAGAGGATGGGTGCAGGGTTTGGTGTTACGGGATGTTTTCCCTTCTCCTTCCTGCAGGTGCTGTGTACACGATGTTTAGAGATTACATCAAGAGAACAGCACAGGATCCCGGGGAGAAGTAGGACTCTGTAGAGCCTGGGGCCACCAGAGCCTCCTCCACCAATCCCTGGTACGTTCCTAATAAAGCCGTTTTGAGGAAAATGACGTCTCTTCTTCACATGGAGGACAGCAGAGAAAAGGACCAGTAGCGGGGTGGGTGGGTGGGTGTTAGTTTTAGAGAAAGGGCTAGAAATCAGAGTTCTGGCCCCCAGCTCCAGGGCAAGGGAGGTTCTCCAGAGGCAACAGCTTCTGGTTCCAAAAGCCTAACACCTCCAAGGCCAGCCCAGGTCCCACCCAGCAGCAGCAGAGTAGAGAGGCAGGAAGGTGGAGGCAAGAAAGTGGCCTCAACGTTCACGGGAGCACTGAATTGAGAGGCAGGCATCCCTCCCATCACAGGCTGCTGCCCTGGGGACCCAGGCAGGAAGACTGCAGCTGGGAGAAGAGACACAGGAGACAACATATATTCAGGACCCAAGTGCCAGGGCCAGACTGTGTTGGAGGGAAGGGGACAGGGGTGGGGATGAAAGGAACAAGAGCAAGGCAGAGGTCAGAATGTTCTGTTCACTTAAAAACCATGTCTAAGGTCAAACTTGTAAAAAAAAAAAAAAATTCCACGTAAATCCTGAAGACAGGGCCCCTTGGGGTTAAACACTTTGTCCCCTTCTTCTCTGAGTCCAAGCTCCACTCTGTTCCCTGGGAATGGAGCCAGGCAGAGGCCACAGAGGAACCAGGAGGCCAAATACTCCTCCCTTGCTGGGACTCTGGGTTGGAGGGTTTGGGGTTGTTAAAAATGGCCACAGCAGCTCTCAGATGCTCTCTGACAACATGGAGTCCGGGTCACACCAGGTCCCAGCTTCAAGTCCAGGATACAGCCCGCTGCAGGGAGCAGGGCTGCCAGGAGTCCCAGCACTCACATGGGGTAATTGAGCACAACATCCTGCTTGGCGAGCTCCAGCAACATGGGATCATCGAAGAACTTGCTGATGCTTACGTCCTCACTCAGGCCCTGCAAAGAGTGGGAGCGATGCAGGAAAGAGCCCTATGTGGTGACCAACAGAGCTGAAAGGCCGTCCGAGACCTGTGCTGGAGGGGGAGGCTGATGGGGGTAGAACTTGGGTCCAGCTATTTCAGGAATCGCCACTGGGGAGAAGGTGCCCCCTTGCCAGCCAGACTGGTGGCCCGAGGCCTGTACAGACTGCACCTCTCTGCACTGTGCAGTGAACTGCTCTCAGTCTTTGGGAGAAAGGTCCCAGAGGAAGAAATGAAGAGATCCAACTCCTGCCAAGAGCCCTGGGGACTGAGGGTTGGCCATGGGCCCCAGGGACGCATACCTTCCTGCGACGGGTTTTGATCATGAATTCCCGGGCCAGGTGAGGAGCAGGCTGTGGCTCCAGGGGACGGATGACAATGCTCTTGTCCAGAGGATCGCCGGGTACAATCTGAAAGGTAAAGTGATGGTCTAGGACTCTTCTCTAGGATATTAGAAATCTCACCTGAGAAGGGGAACAGGCCAGAGGGGAACGGCTTTGAATGGGTGGGAGGGCACACTGGCCAGCCTGCACCATTTTCTCACCTGCCAATGGTGGAAGACAGACAAGGAAAAGGCCTGCCCTTGGGTGTGAGTTCGCAGATCAGTCTCAAAGCCAAAAGAATCAATGGCGGGGATGAAAGCTTTGATGGTGTAGAGAGGGGAGCCTGGGATAGGTGCATCCTGAGTCACATGCCCCCTGTGACAGAAAAAGAAAGGCTGAGACCTTGTCCTACAGAGACCAAAAGCAAAGAATCTGGCCCCAAATGTACCATCAAGGAAAGTTACCATCAAGGAAAGAATAACCACAATCATGCTATAGTGGGCAGAAAAGGCTTGGGGCCCTCAGTGTCATTTCCTGTGGCTGTCAAAGGGGCAGTGACCTCTAGGCAAGAGTGGAAACGCTGACGAGACAAGGTCCTATAGACATTCCCCCCACTGACACATTTCAGTACTTTCCCCAAGGGCTCTCCAAGGAGAGAGGGCCCAAGAAGGAATCTCAAAATTTTTATCTGCAGTGAAGCTGGGGATTGCCTCAAATCTTTCCCATGTCCTTCTGAAAAACCAGCTCAGTTGGTTTTTAGGAGCAGAAACTGTGCAGGAGGCCCATCTCCTCCCCCACGGGAGCCCAATAACTTCTTGCTGTGCTCCTGCTCTCTGCACCCTCCCTAACATGCTCTGCTGGTGGCTCACCTGCGCCTGGCCAGGACAGTGTACACAGCAGAGACACAATCCGCAGGGGCCTGGACCTCCACAAAGTAGTAAGGCTCCATCAGGCGAGGAGTGGCCTGCAATGGGGGCAATAAGAAAGGCTTCCTCAGCTTGGGGAAGGCTGAGGACTGAGGATCCGGGTAAAAAAAAGGCTGGAGGGACTGTAGTCCTGATGCCCCCAGAGGCTGGACCTCCACTTAATGTCCTGGAGCAGGTCAGCCCCACCACTCACCATGAGGAAGGCAGAATAGACGACTCTCCTTGCCGTGGGGATGATCTGGCCCCCGCCCCGGTGCAGGGGCTCTTGGGCAACCACTGCATCGAGGATCTTAAACTTGACATTTCGAATCACTGAAACAGAGATGGGGGAGCTGCTGAGTGAGGAGCAGTTGCAGGGCTAGTCAAGGGCCCAAGGGCAGAGCAGCAAGGAGTCTCTAGCTTGCACGGCAGCTGTCTTGAGGCCACAAAAGATATGGCTCACAATCACCCTGCAAATGGGTGTTCTGATAGGATGCCAAGGCCTACAACAGAGAACGGAAGTTAAGCACACATTCTTTGTGTTGGTTTCAGGTCATGCTCAGGCATCGTAAAGGCTTCCTAGATGTGTATGTGTTCTTCTTGCAGATATTTAATAATTTTTGAATGTAGAATAAGTTCTAGGAATTGCATATTTCTTCCCACTAAATCCAATCGTGGTCTATAAACCACTCTGATCCCACCTCCCTCCTGATACCTCTCCTCGAACACATTCCTTCTCAGGACTGAGGAGCAAATGTCAGCCTAGAAATAACTTCATTTCGGACGTCCCGAGCAATAGCACTAGGACAGGGAGGGAGAGGAGGAGAGGACGCTGCTCCAGGACAAGGGATGGTCCCGTGTGCCCCGAGCTGCTTCTCCTGCCAGGGCCCATAGATGAGCCTAGCCCACCCCACACGCCCAGGCATGAGGACCCTAGAGGGCTGGGCAGGGGAGGCCGAGGCACGGGTGGAACTTACGCTCATCACAGAGGGGCCCCTCCCGGGTTCCCCACTGGAAACCTTGAACGATGCTGTCCTTCACTGAACCAAGAAGAGCCTTGTCCACCTGCACAGAACACAAGGGCACACGTGAGCAGCGACTGTGGCAGCAACCAGAGTTTAGAGGGAGGAGAAGGTAGGTATACTGGTAAGAAGATTCACCAGAAGCCACAAAATACTTTGGGGAAAAGAAGTACACTTTGTAGTTTCTTCCACTCAACGGTGAAGAAACCACCCCAGTGGCTCCCATTAGTTCTGCTGTACCTCAGAGGGCAGGGTATCATCCACCAGGATGTTGGGGCCGGTGGCATCAGGGCCGAAAGCCCAGATAGAACGTGCAGCCAGCAGATCCCAATCATACTTGGTCTGGAAGAATTCTCCCAGTTTCTTCCTGCAGGGGAAAAAGGAGACAAGGAGGTATCCAGCAGCTCTGCGGTTACTGCCTGCTGGGGTCACAGATCCTGCCTTCCTGGAGGACAGTTCACTTCCCAGGACAGGTGGCATTAGAGACTGGGCGGGCAGGCTGTGGCGCCTCGTCTCCTTCCAAGCCTTGGAACCACAGCCACATTCTCACCTGTTCCAGGTGATCTGGACCACCTCATTCTCTATGTCCTCGGCGAGGCCCTTCTCAAGAGGCTCGGCAATCATGGTGATCTTGTTCCTAGTCAGACAGGACACGGGTAATGATGAGGATCAGCAGGACTCAGAGAAGGCGCATTCCTAAGAAAAGGCTGGCAAGGCAGTGACACCAGTAGAAGCCAGATGGGCCAGAGTAGAGCAAAAAGGGTTCATCTTCTGTCTTCTTCATTCAAATCTACCACTCTTTTAAAAAAGTGAGGTCTCAGGGCGCCTGCCTGGCTCCCTCAGTGGAGCATGTGGCTCCTGATCTCAGGGTCGTGAGTTTGAGCCCCATGCTGGGTGTAGAGATTACTTAAAAACAGAATCTTAAAAAAACAAAAAACAGTGGAGCTGCTGCTAGGGCAAGATTTTAAGACGATCATATTACAAAGAAAGAAGTGGCAACGTGGACACTCATCCTTGGGGTACTTTTGGCAAAGAATCCCACAGCATCATGTCTCCAGGCCTAAGGAATGAGAGTGCTGGGGTAAAACTCCAGCATCCTAAGACCCCATCCCAAGACTCAGGGGGTCTCTGTTTCCACAGCGCTTGTGATTAGGGTGGAGTGGCGCAGGGAGAGGAGAGTGTCCCCTGTCAGTCCCAGGGTCACTCAGACCCCCAGCTCACTTCTTATTGGGCGTTTCAGCAAAGCACTTGAGGGAAGATGTTTCCACCACCGTCTCACAAAACGTGACAACAGGGTCAGCCACCTGGGAAACAGAATAAATTGTTAGGCAAGGTCTCGATTTGTTGGAAGGACAATCTTCTGCCAAAGGGAATTCTGAGGTCCCCTTGGCACCACCCCTGCAGTAACACCCCGTTCTTAATCAGCATCAGCAACAAGTCCCATAGTGGGCTAAAAGTCCGTACCAGCACTAAGTAGCCTGAGAAAGCATAGCTGAGTGCGGAGTTGGTGTTCCTCAGCCAAGAGTTAAGTGCAAGTCGAACCTGGGCCTAAATGATAGTCCCCCAAGGTCTCTTCCAACATCTGTTCAGCCAGCCCCCCACCGCTCACTGAACAGCTCCCGTGGCTGTCACAGCGGGCACTAGGGACTGCCTGGACCTGCCAGGTCCCTGTTCCATTCTGAACCCCTGGCTCTGGGTAGCACAGCTCCTCCCTGAGGCTCCCACACGGCCTGCTACCGGGGAACTCAGTATCTTCTAGAGCACCAGTCCTCGGCACATCAGAAGGAGCATCTAAGACAGGTACGTAAGGGCACTCACTCCCACCACCACAGGAACTAGGAGAAAATGTGTGTACCAAGAAGGCGCACTTGAACTGAGGGGCCACATCATGACCTGACAGCAAACCCAGGAGGGCCAGTCCTCACTCCCTGAACGATCCACTGAGCCCTAATCACCAAAGATGGGTTGTGTAACAGTTTTCTTAACAAAAAACCAAGAATCATTTTGGCTTGGGAGCCTTGACTTTAAACGTATGACATTGAGAATAACCCTGCAGGAAGGGGCAAACCAGATCTCAAATACCTTCCCATATAGGGAGCAACAGGTCATGCTTTTCCCAAACACGTCTCTTCTCCTGGTGCCCCCCCTCTTCCCTCAGGCCTTCCAGGCCAATCAAGGGTTTGGCTGCCTGTAAAATCAGACTGGAGCCGTGAGTCAAGCTCCTGGCCGGGCAGGCGCTGAAGAAAGAGGACGCCGATTTACCTTGATGTCGATCTCTGAGTACATCTTCCGCAAGTCGTGCATCACACAGTCCAAGTAGAGCTCCCCAGTACCTAGAATCACATGCTCCCCAGACTCTTCCACCTGAAATGCAACAGCTCTGGCAGTCACAGCCTGGACCTCCTGTGCCAGCAACAACAGCCAGCACCAGAATCAACATGAGACCCCAGGCAGCGGTGCCCGAACCCACTCTGGAAAGCCACTGCTCGGCAGCAGTTCTAGCCTCTTCAAGGACCACTGCGGAACAGGGACCTATGAGTTAATCCTCAAGACATCTGGACCATTCAGCAACAGTGCTACTGGGCATAAGGTCACCAATTTATTTCTGTCACAACCGTTTAGGGAACACCCTGCCCTATGTCTACAGACATAAGTTGACGTTTTAGCCCTGGCCAACTACTCAGAAAAGTATGCTAGAAGGCTCAAGAATGTAGAAGAATCAGAATGACTCACTTTTCCCTCTAGATTTTCTGGAAAAATCAATTCAAAGTGTACTCTCCAGGACACCTCTCTTTCCCATTGAAAGATACTGTGGGATATGAACACACATGTGCACTCTCACTGCCCCCCGTGCCCCCATGTCCTGCTTTGAAATGACAGCGGCAGACGGGGATACTTGCTCCTGACATAGGCTGCTGGAAGCACATCAGGCACACCTGGTGGACAAGAGGCCGTGGGCAGCACAGAGCCATCAGCTGGGCAACGGGGCCTGGCAGCTCCCACACACCCTGAGCGTACCTTGGTGGTGAGGGATGGATAGCTCTTGTTGACCTTGCGCAGACCGTCCAGCATCTTGGGCAGCTCTGAGGGGTTGACCGGTTCCACAGCAATCTTGATAACAGATGTGGTGTTGAACTTTAAGGGCCGGAAAATCTGAGCCTGAGATTCAAAATGCAGAAGAATGTGGGCACCTGGACTGAGTAGGCACCAAAGATGCAGAGGTCAGAGAGGAGCAGACCATTGCCCCAACAGAAGCCACAGTGCTGCTTGGAGGCAGCCTGAAGGGCCGTTTATTCTGTGCATTTGGACAGAATAGAGAGAGAGGGAAAGATAAAGGAACTCCCCCTAATTCCTAGCATCCGAGCAGAGTGCAGGGAGAATTGAGCAGGGTCAGATCGAGAACACTGCAGAGGCCCGGAACCAGGAAGTGGTCATGACTCTGGGTTAGTACCCCGTGAGTTCTGTTGCTGGTTGCTCCCGTGTGGTCTGGCTCCGTGTGACCCTCTAGGTTAAACTAATCCAGTTGCTTTTTCAAAAAACTCTACCTCCTCATTGCCTCGGGGTTCAGTTATGGTCGCTGTCTTCACAATTGGTTGATCAACACCTTCAATCAGAACCCAGTTGCCAGCAGGAACACGATTCACCTCAATGTGGTACCTGGAGCAACAGATATGTGAAATAAGGAGGGGTGCCAGGCACTGAGCCAGGCGCAGGGCTGAACCAGACAGACATATTCCAGCAGGGAAGGACACAATAAACAACCAATCATATAACCTCACATATACGTACAGGTAACTCTTGAACAATGTGGAGGTTAGGGGCGCCGACCCCCCATGCAGTTGAAACTCCACGTGTATGTCCTGACTCCTCCCAAAACTTAACTACTAACAGCCTACTGTTGGCTGGAAGCCTTACTGATAACATAAACACAGTCGATTAACACATATTCTGTGTTACATGTATTCTACACTGTATTCTTACAATAAAGTAAGCTAAAAAAAATACTAAGTCCTAAAGAAGAAAAAATATGTTTATAGGACTATAGTGTATTTATTGAAAAAAAAATTACCCACATTAAAGTGGACCCATGTAGCTCAAACCTGTGCTGTTCAACTGGAGTTACAAACTGATTAGCACATGAAAGAAAAGTGCGTGGTATTGTGAGAGGACAAAACAGGAAAACCCAGTTCCAGTTGGATACTAGTGGTAAGCAAGGCACTGCCCAAGGGGTAGAATGTAAGTTAATGCCAGAAGCATCCTAGAAGACACTGTGACTGTCCCAGCTCATCAGTCTTCTGCCTTCTAGGGAACGGGTGGATCTGGGAGAGGGGACGGGGGCTGGCGGCAAGGTGCGGCAGCAATGGCAGGAACAGGACTGCCTCCACTCTGCTTGCTAGCTGAGAAGCCAAGCTTAGGAACTCACAGGCAGCCCAGAGGCCCAAGCTAACTCTGATTCTGAAGATGGGGAAGCTATAAGGGATCCAGCAAAATCTTCTGTCTTGGTCAAAGAATAGTCAGTGGAGGCTGGGAGACAACTTCTTTTGGGAAGGAACATAAAGGTTATGACTTAGGAACACAGAAAAGGAAGAGAGAATTAAGAGTAAAAATAGAAATCCTGTTTCAAAAGTTCATACAAGCCATTCAAAACGCGAAAGCAAGGCTCTTGGCATTATCCCAACAGTAGCTGCCTTTTGGCCCTAGCAACTCTGGGTAGTAAGAACTGAAAGTCAACAGATGTGAGGGAGGGTCAGCTGATCTACTGTAGGGGGCCACGCAGCCGCTGTGCTTCCAAGGAGGACTACTCCTTCCAGCTCCTTGTGGCAGCTCCAGTGACAAGACCAAGGGATGCCTCTATAGGCTGTGGTTGGCGGTACCTGGCCACAGAGATCCAGAGGCGGCCCACGGTGCATATCTGGGAGTCTTCCTCATCCTCCAGGGTGTAGTTCTCCCCCAATACCTTCACAGGCTGCCCAGCGTGGATGGTGCCACTTAGCACCCGGCCGAAGGCATGAAACTGAACTCCATCATCTGTGCTGTACATCTTGGTAGTGTGGCACATCAGGGGACCCTGGAGATGGGGACAGAGTGCAGGCTCAACCACACATATTCCCATGGTAAATACCATGGTCTCTATCTCCCTTGACAGCAATGACATGAGCTCTGGGAAGAGGCTGCCCAGACCTGGAGGAAGATAAGTCAATCTCCTGGGAAAATCCCAAACCACGCCCTACCCCCTGCTTAGTTAATAAATGTCACAGGCATAGCAAAAAAACTCTTTTCCTTTTCTCTAGGGGGATGAGGGCAATGGCAAAGAAAAGTAGGTTTACGATAGCAGCCTGGCACTGTTAACTTGCAAGATTACAAGACGTGCTTGCCCCAAATTCCCGCCGAAGACATAACTCACAATTCTCAACTGGTTGTATGTTTATGCCGAGAAACTCGACTGACTTAGGAATGGCTGGGAAAGACTGTTCTATTTTTTAATTTTTAGTTTTATTTATTGACTTATTTTTAAAGTAAGCTGAACACTCAATGTGGGACTTGAACTCATGACCCCAAGATCAACAGTCACACGCTCTGCTGATGGAGCCAGTCAGGCGCCCCTGGGAAAGATCTTTTTAAAGCCCAAGGCTGACAAGGTTAGCTCCCATTTGTTGACTCTTTACTGTCAGGCACCATGCTGAACACAACTGTAATACTTTCTCTTATTCAATTCTTGTAACAATCACATATGTATTATTACCTTCATGTCATAGACCAAGACTCTTAGAAAGACTGAATAACGTTCCCAAGATCATACCATTAGGCTTTGAATGCAGGTCTGTTTGGCTTTGCTCATGGGGAGTGAGTGGCAAACAAGGGTAGAAAGGCGGCATTCTTCCTATGACCAGACAACAGCATCCCCATACAGGAGGGGAAAAATCAAGACAAATGGGGGCTTTCCCTTACATCAGGGTCACAGTCGCTCATGGCCTCGCCGAGATCAGAATCCACACCACCGGTGTAGGTATGCTCTATCTTGGGCTTGGCGCCCACCTTTGGAGAGGGGATATGCTGCACACACATGTCCACAAAACCTGTGGAGGGAGAAGAGCAAGCCATTACCATACACTCTCACAGGGGGAAGTGAGCAGTGAGTTACGGATGTACTTGTGATAGCCAGAGCGCTAAAAGCCAGAGGACTGATGTTCGGGTCTAAAAGTTATGGCACCACACCTATGTCAGAGAAGAGCAAGAAGCAGGGCTCAGTGGTTCCTTGGAACTCAGCTGACAAAAATTTTCAAGTAGCTCTACCAATCCACGATCTTTTATTGAATATGAGCACTTACTGAGCGTTTACACTAAGTAAGTACCCTCTCTCTTTAAATCTACTTAGAACAATCCCTAAATTGACTCTTTTCCTTTGGCAAACACTGCACACGTCTCTGTTCTATACACGATCCTTTTTTTCTAATGGCTAATGAGCCATGCAAGAGAGGACTCCATGAGCACCTTGGGGAAGGCAGATGTGTTTTCAGTTGGTATCTCCTAGGTCAGACTGATGGCCAGCCCATAATAAACTGCTAAAATTATGTACTTGGGAGGATTCAGACATCTAATTCCCACCAGACTGCTGAGGGGGCCCTTAGACATTACCTTTCCCGCCTCACTTATTTTACAGATGAGAAATTGAGTCACAGAAGAATTGGGTGGCTGCCCCAGGGTCTCACCACATGGAAGGGTCAGGGCCACAATAGGAGCAAGACTCAGGTCTTTTCTCAACTGGTCTGGGTCTTGTTCTACTGTATCACCTGCCTTCCCTGCCACTCAAATAGAGGAGACAGGAGCTCGGAGGAAAGAGAAATCGGGCCTGGTGTTTTCCCCACTACTTCCCATCACTCCTGAGTCTATCTTCCTAACACCCTGGCAAAAATACTAGAACCTCAGAATCTGCTTCCCCATCTCCTTTATTTAAATGCATGCTCCTCCTGATAGGGAAATTTAATTGCTTCTGTTTTCCAAGACAGACTCCTTGGTACCGTCCACTGAAGAAGACAGCTAGGAAGAAAATCCAGGTGCTGGACATCCCGACTTGCAGTTTCTTTAAAAGAGCCTCACATCTCTGAACACCGCCATGGGATGAGGAAAAGCTCCACAGGATACATGTGGCAGAACATGATGATGGGGATGGGAAAGGGGCCGTGAGCTCTTTTGTTACCTGTGAACTCGCCAAAGAATTTTTTGCAGACCAGCCTGAGCAGGGGGCGGATGTTCAGCTTCAGCTCCTCCTTGGTCAGGTGAATGCCAAGCTCGTCCAGAGTCCTGGGGAGGCTGGTGTCCACGTCACCTACAACCTGTGTGGGTAGCAGACACCACGTCAGCTGTAGTGACAGCCCTGGTGTGGTGCCTGCCATAGAGGGCAAGGGCAGAGGGCAATTTGAAGGGTCACTGCACTAAGTTCTCTTCTACAGGAAGAGCTCTTGGCAAGGACAACTATTTGGTTTCCCAGAAATCTTTGGTACCTACTCTTCAAACCAACCCCGGGTGAAAAGGGCTTGGTTAAATGCCCACACCAGCCAATAAACCTGGACCTCTCAAATGGACCTTCAGTGCTGCCCCCTGGTGTCTGAAAAGCAGCATCTCAGCCCACTCAGGAGATCCTTACCCTACCCTTCCCTATTTTAGAGACTTCTCAGATTTAGAGGATCACTGCACCGGAAGGAACCAAAAAAGGTCACCAGCAGTCCATCCATTGGTAGGGCAAGGCCAAGCTAAATCATCCTTAGCAGACTCAAGGTCTCTACCGAGACAGATTCTATAAATTTCTTTTATTAATCCATTCCAGTCTGACACAGGATACTAATTATTTTTCAGCACTAATAAATTTTAATCATGCTCTTTTGTCTTTTTGCTATGTTTTATTTTTTTGTCAGCTGGAATGGCCACACACATTTTGTGTATGTGTGTGTGTTCACTGTGCCCAGGGCTTATTAAACACTTGAATATTTTATAACTGTCTTGGAAAAAAGATCTATGAAAATTCCCATACAATGTTACCCTTCTACTTCTGCCTTTTATTTTTTTTTTATTTTTTTTTTAAAGATTTTATTTATTTATTTGAGAGAGAGAATGAGATAGAGAGAGAGCATGAGAGGGGAAAGGGTCAGAGGGAGAAGCAGACTCCCCGCTGAGCAGGGAGCCCGATGTGGGACTCGATCCCGGGACTCCAGGATCATGACCTGAGCCGAAGGCAGTCGCTTAACCAACTGAGCCACCCAGGCGCCCTCTACTTCTGCCTTTTAGGTAGCACAAATTCATGTAACGCAACACTATGCTCTCTTCTTCGAAGCATCCCACATGTTTAACTACATCCTTACCACTGTCTGACGCATCCTTTTCTCTTTTTTCAAGTCAGCTCTATGCCCAACATGGGGCTTGAACTCATGACCCAGAGATCAAGAGTCGCATGCTCTACTGACCGAGCCAGCCAGGTGCCCCATGATGCATCCTTTTCAATTTGACAAACATCACATACATACAGGCCCAGAAAAGTCATTAAAAGCAAGCTCATACACCCATTCTGTTAATGGATGCAAAACACTTCATTTGAGAAGTACCATAATTCATTTAATCAGATTCTCATTGGTAAACATTTAACTTATTTCCAGTTTTTCCCCCTGGTGTTGTAAATAATGCTTTAACATATATGTTACATATATGTTAAACCTGAAGTACCTTCTTAATTTGATCTGTAAATCAAATCCCCACAACTGAAATTATTAGTTCTCAAGTGTCATATTCTTTTTTTTTTTTTTTGATTTTATTTATTTATTTGAGAGAGAGAGAATGAAAGATAGAGAGCACGAGAGGGAAGAGGGTCAGAGGGAGAAGCAGACTCCCTGCCGAGCAGGGAGCCCGATGCGGGACTCGATCCCGGGACTCCAGGATCATGACCTGAGCCGAAGGCAGTCGCTTAACCAACTGAGCCACCCAGGCGCCCCAAGTGTCATATTCTTTTGAATAGACAAAATCTTTACACAAATTTCTCCAAGGCCTTTTCCTTCTTCCGTATCTTCTCCCTTCACTCTGAATTCAACAGCATTTAGAGGACTATAGTGTTCTAGATCTAGAAGACTGGTGATCAACTAACCCCATACTTAGTAATATGAAACTGAGCAGGTTTAGGGGCAAGGGTAAGTGTGAGTTCACTAGCTTTTCCACCTCATGCTTACAAAGGCAGACCTGAACCAGGCAGCCTGACACACTCACCTGAGCAAGGATCTTATAAAGGGGCTCCAAGATAAACTCCACAAAGCTCCTCTGGGAGCTGCTGGTTGGGGCCTTTTTGGTGAACTTTCGTCTAAAGAGGAAAAAAAAGAGTTATGGGTGAGCCAGCAGGGAGAAGGCATGTCACTGACCCCAAGGGTGAATCTCCTAAGTTCTGAATCTGAGCAGGGTCAAGGGGAAGGAACGTGTGTGTGATCATATTTCCAAAGAGAGATTCCTGAGAGGGTACATGGTTATGACTTGCATGCACACCTAAGCTGAACTGTGAAGACCTCAAGAGAAACAGCCTCGTCCTGTTAAGAGCTCATGAAGCCAACCCACTTAGAGAAGGAAAGATGACTGTCATGGCTAATAACAAAGTAGGTTTTAATCTTAGGAACTCTTTCTCTGTCTTCACTTCCTGGGAAAATGGATCCCCCCTCTAAAGAGTCATTTCCCCATTCTACTTACGTTTTGGGGTTGAAATAAATGTCACCCCAGAGTCTTTTAGCAAATTCCTGGTAGTTAATGTCACCTGTAAGAGAAGATATACGATTATAATCTATCTAAGTACTGTTTGAAAGTCTGTTCCAGGTGCATAAGTGGTTTACAGCTGAAGAATTCTAGCACCTTCCTTTCCAAGGTCCGGACATTTCCTTCTACCCAGGCAGGCAGGCAAGGGTAGAACTGGCCCAAAGTTGACAAGACTACGCTGGAGCCAAAACAAGCACCTAGAGGTGGCTCCATGTCTAGTCCATGTCTAGCAAACAAAAAACTGAGCTATGGACAAGGGTATGGTTTATACTCTTTCCTTTGATAAAACAGGCTCAACTGCCCACATGTTATGCTCTGCAACCCAGTTCCTTCTAGAAGTGCAGCTTAATGGCTCCCTCATTCTTTTTTTTTTTTAAAGATTGATTTATTTATTTTGAGAGAGTGAGAATGAGAGAGAAAGAGAGAGAGAGAGAGAGCGCACATGAGAGGGGGGAGGGCCAGAGGGAGAAGCAGGTTCCTCGCTGAGCAGGGAGCCTGATGCGGGACTCGATCCTGGGACTCCAGGATCATGACCTGAGCCGAAGGCAGTCGCTTAACCAACTGAGCCACCCAAGCGCCCTCCCTCATTCTTTCTTGATCTCTGCTGCCAGTGGGGCAGTCTCCCAGCTGCGGTGCCATGCTAAAGCTCCGACTAGCCCTAAGCCTCTGGAAGGCAGACATCTAGTCCTCTGGAGAGAAAACACCAAAGCCAACCTTTGTCTCATCTTTTACCAATTAATCTTTTTAGTTTGATTGTAACCCTTAATCCTGGTCAGACTGAGCCAAGCAATGGGGGCTTTTAAAATTCAAGATCTCAGTCAAGAGCTCCTATAACAGTCAATTGGATCACTGACATCACCAACTAGCTCATGAGTATTTCTATCCAGATTTCAGACTGTTCTCACTCACTCACGATGGCAAACACGGAATTCATCACCTTTTCCCTACAGCTGTGTTCCCCTTCAGACTGTTCTTTCAGTGAGGCTACCCTTGGCACTTCATCCAGGCTCACAATCTTTTTCTTCCCCACTTTGTTAATTACCAAATTCTTCCCTTCTTTCCCACATTAGTGAAGCTCTCTCCTCTGAATCACTATGTCCATCACACACCTCTACTACTGCACTTAATGTATGGTATAGCATACTCACAGTACTCACAAGAACCAGGCCTAGCGTGCTACAGAAGTGTAATAAATGCTCACTGAAAGAAGGGGTGAACGTCTCTCCAACCCATCTCCGCCTTTTCGATCTCACAGATAACAGGAATCCAATATTTGCAATCCTGTTATCTGAATATTGGTAAAAATGTCTAAATGGGTGTTCCTTCCTGCACTCTCTCCTCTCTCTAGCCTACCTTCCATCAGCTTTGCACACGTCAGCCCACCCCCACCTTTATTTTAATTTTTTAAATGTAACTTTGTGGCATTTTTTCATTTATTTATATGTGTATCTCTCTTTTTCTTTTTAAAGATTTTATTTATTCACTTGAGACACAGAGAGAGAGGGAGCGTGAGCAGGGAGAGAGGCAGAGGGAGAGGAAAAACAGGCTCCCTGCTGAGCCAGGAGCCCAATGTGGGGCTCAATCCCAGGACCCTGGGATCATGACCTGAGCTGAAGGCAGACGCTCAACCATCTGAGCCACCCAGGTGCCCCATATGTGTATCTTTCTTAAGCAGGTTGTGAGAGAGAACTTGGATCCTGGGAAACACCTACAGACCCCAGGATACTACAGGGGCTGGGAAAGTGGCCTTGGGACATGAATTTCATGTTTCGTTTGCTTGAGACTGACTGGGGAAGGAAGCCATCCTGGGACACAGGTTTTTGTTCTGCCTAGGAGCACCGTTCTTACTCAAGGATTTTGGGGTAGGTGTGTGAATACGGGGAACAGGGTGGAGGGTACGTTGCTGAAGCACACAGAGTCAGGAAGCTTTAGGTTGGCCACCATGCACGAAGTCTAGCTCCTGAAAGGAGAATTAGTTGAGGTAGTTGATTTATGCAAGAAATCTTCCCCGTCCCACCTCAGAGCATTCTCTGGATGTTTGACAAAGTAGGGTCAGTGCCTCAGGCTGCTGCGGGGTAGCCTTGTGCAGGTACTGCCCCTGAGGGTTAAGTTCAGTCCACAGCCTATGCATGTCCTTTAGCAAAGCACAGGTTCTGTCCGCAGGTTTATTTTTTTTAAATACTTTGTTCATTTGAGAGCGAAAGAGCACAAGCAGGGGGAAGGGGCAGAGGGAGAGGGAGAAGCAGGCTCCCTGCTGAGCAGGGAGCCCGACGTGGGACTTGATCCCAGGACGCTGGGACCATGACCTGGGCTGAAGGCAGACACTTAACAAACTGAGCCACCCAGGTGCCCCTGTCCGCAGGTTTAAATGGTTGACTAAACTAAAAGAAGAGTATTTTGTGACACGTGCAGCTCATATTTCACTGCTCATAAAGTTTTATAGGAACGTAGTCTCATTCATTTACATATTGTCTGTGGCTGCCTTTGTGCTCTATCAGGGAAGTTAAATAGTTGTGACAGAGACCACGTGGCCTACAGCCCACCCCAATCTTTATTCATTTTTTTTTTAAGATTTTATTTATTTATTTGAGAGAGAGAGAATGAGAGCTAGAGAGCATGAGAGGGAAGAGGGTCAGAAGGAGAAGCAGACTCCCTGCTGAGCAGGGAGCCTGATGCGGGACTCGATCCGAGACTCCAGGATCATGACCTGAGCCGAAGGCAGTCGCTTAACCAACTGAGCCACTCAGGCGCCCCCACCCCAATCTTTAATAGCTCCCAACTGCCTACCGAATAAAGTCAAAATTCCTTAATCTGGCATTCCAAACCCTCCTCAATGTGGTCCCACCCCTGCCTGCCCAGTTTTACTTCAACTCTTCCCCTTGGTGAGACGGTCCACCATTATTAAACAGGCCACGGGTCCAAACCACCTGCCTCTGTGCCTCCTTGCCCAATGCTGCGAGTCTGGAATGCCCAGCTCCCCACTCCCCACCTGTCCACCAAACCCTATCTCCTCCTGCCCAAGTTAATGCTATACATTGTTGTTCATCACTCTGTGGATTTCTGTCTGCCCCCAGACAGTGTTTCTACAAGTCACAGATTGTTTCCCATGCCCTGCCAGATTCCTAGTTAAGATGACTGCCTTGTCACCTTGGCACCAACTGTGGCAGTACGGTGTGAGAGAAAAAACCCCAAGTAGATTCCGGTCCCAAGCCCATCAGGAGGTTCTGGAACGCTGGGCATGGTTTCCCATATATGAAATTAAGGGGAAGGACTCAGAATCTCTGATATTCCTTCCAGAGCTTTTATATAAGTCCGTACACAGCTTTTCATGATGATGATGTCAGAGCCCTCAGCTGGCTCCTCTAAATGAACAGTGGGTTCCAAGCATGGGTAATACTCTCCTGAGGCTTAGGGCCACCTTCAATCAGAAACTGAATCATTAATACATTGTAGTTACAGAAACGGTCTTGGGTTTTGCTTCACATGCTGTTATAAAGAACATTCAGAAACCTATAAACTAGAACCCTGCTCAGAGGAGTTTCATTTATTGTCCATTTCTCCCTTTTTATTTTTTTTTAAGATTTTTATTTATTTATTTGAGAGAGAGAGAGACAGCGGGAGAGGGAACACAAGCAGGGGGAGTGGGAGAGGGAGAAGCAGGCTTCTGCTGAGCAGGGAGCCCGATGTGGGACTCGATCCCAGGACCCTGGGATCATGACCTGAGCTGAAGGCAGACACTTAACGACTGAGCCACCCAGGTGCCCCTATTTTAAGACTTCAAGTAGAGAAAGGATTCTCCCTGATTCTTGGTGAGATAGCACAAGCTAGGTCTTGAAAATCTACATTCTTTTACACTAACAAGAAGTTAGAGAATCTCTAGTATTACTTAACTAGAGGGGATTTCCTGGGAGGAAGAGGGAAGATACAGCTTAAAAGATCCTTGGGTCTTTTTTGGGGGGAGGAGGGGAAGAGTGTCCATTTTTAAAATTGGATTTTCCAATTCAGAATGCTGCAGCTTTTGTGAATGAATGAATATTGGTATGTACAAAGGAAAAAAAAA